GGTTACAATAATACATAAATATTTGGTCTAAATCCTAATTTTTTGTAATTTTATTGAAGGTGGTTTATGTCATTTAAAAAAGAAACCTCAAATAGTCTTTGAATATTGAGATTTCCCAGCTGGAAGAAACAAAAACATTGCTAGCTCACAGGGAAAATCTCAAAATTTTAAGGTGTTTTTCCTCAAAATCGGGTTTTTTGTTGCTAATGCTCAAAAATGTGCTTAAATTTTTTTTGGAAAATATTTCAGACAATTCATTGAAACTAAACATTGATAACACATTTATTTGTTATATTTTGACAAACTGTATTTTTTTGCAAGTGTTTTAATCAAAACACGATATCTGCCTATTTCTCCACATTCAACTTTTAGTCTTAATCCTCGTTTCGATGTGATGGGTCACATATTTTATTGATCCCAAAGGGAAATTACAACAGCAGCAGTTATCTTGCTTCAACTACKCGTTTCCAGAATCTGATTGTTATACCTGCAAGCAGACATTTATAAAGATAGTCAAATGGCCAAACACTCATAGATGGAGAGAGGATAGAGAGACCATCCAAGCCTGTTTTAGGTGCACAGTTCAAATGTCTGCCCCTCTGATGGTATGGAGGTGCATTATTACCCATGAGTAGCTTCACATCTGGGTAGGCACAGTCATTGCAGAAAAGGATTTATAAGTTTTAATGTGACATACACTCCCATTCAGATGGTATCTTTTTCAGAGAAGGCCTTGCATGCCAGACAAACAACTGCATTCTGCAAAACAACATGGCTTTGATGATTATTTCACAAAACCTAAAAACAGAATATTGATGCAGGCAGCTGTTTAAATGCAGCAACTTTAAATCAGTGTGTTTAATCACCTGCAGATGAGTGGTTGTGGTCATCTTCAATGTAAAAAAAAGGCACAGACAGAAAATGGTGTCAGCTATCTGTTCCATTTATTAAATACATTTTATCACAGCATGTTTTACATCATAAAACACAGGTAACAAGGTTCTCATATTCTATGAGTTCTTGTCACTGTTTAGGTTTGATTTCTTCATCACTCCTGGGACTCCTTTGTCTGAAATGACAAAGACAATGTTAAATCCAGAGCTTGAAGCTATGAAAATTTAACTGATGAACAGTTCCATCACCTTGACAATTTCCCGACTCTTGGCCCTCAGCTTGTTGACCTGAGACTCGGCGATGTCGGCCCGCTCCTGAGCTTCCTCCATCTCATGCTGCACCTTCCTGTACCTGGTCAGGTGAGTGTTGGCCTGCTCTTCCTGTGCAACAAAACCCACAAACAAACTCAGCATTCTGAACTAATTGACACTTTTTGAACATGTGTCTTCAGATGTGTGTGTGAGCTTACAGACTCCTCAGCCTGTCTCTTGTAGGATTTCACTTTCAGCTGCAGTTTGTCCACCAGATCCTGCAGCCTGGTGATGTTCTTCTTGTCCTCCTCAGTCTGTTAAAAACAACATAAGGTTAATGTTTTCCCTACTACATCTTATTATAAGGTAACTGTAAATGTGTTATTGGGAAGTAAACGACATCTAACCTGATAGGTGAGTTCCTTCACTCTTCTTTCATACTTTCTCACACCCTTGATCGCCTCAGCACTGCGTCTTTGTTCAGCATCAACTTCAGTCTCCAGTTCACGAACCTTCAAAAATAAAAAGTAATTTCTGTTTTTTTTTTTATTTATTTATTTTTTTTTTTACTTAGATAAAATGAGATTGTTTGTGCTTTGCATACCCGAGCTTCCAGTTTCTGGAGCTGCTTCTTGCCNATCTACATGTAGATGAAAGTAAACCATTAGTAGCTCACTTTGTGCACTATTTACTTACTTTTCCGATTTCCCGACTCTTGGCCCTCAGCTTGTTGACCTGAGACTCGGCGATGTCGGCCCGCTCCTGAGCTTCCTCCATCTCATGCTGCACCTTCCTCAGCCTGGACATGTGAGTGTTGGCCTGCTCCTCCTGTCAGGAAAATCCATGATAGAATTATTAGTCTACCATGGGATGCATAGACTTTAGTAGAGCATAAAGAAAAACCTATTATGTGAGAATAAAACAAAAAGCTTTAAAAAAAAGTGATCTGACTTACAGACTCCTCAGCTTGTCTCTTATAGGCCTTTACTTTCAGCTGCAGTTTGTCCACCAGATCCTGCAGTCTGGTGATGTTCTTCTTGTCCTCCTCAGTCTACAGTTTACATTGATGAATAATAAATGTATCAATAAAGCACTTTTGTTTTGGTTCTGTAATGATCAGCTAAAAATACCCAACCTGATAGCTCAGCTCCTTGACTCTTCTCTCGTACTTGCGAACACCTTTGATGGACTCTGCTCCTCGCCGCTGCTCCGTTTCCACCTCAGCCTCCAGCTCACGCACCTGACGCAGAAACAGCTTTTACTGTAGAGCTCAAAGACACACAACGTGAGGACAGGGTCTTTCAAAACCGTCGTACCCGAGCTTCCAGTTTCTGGAGCTGCTTCTTGCCTCCCTTCATGGCCAGATTTTCCGCCTCATCCAGGCGGTGCTGCAGGTCCTTCACTGTAATCTCCAGGTTCTTCTTCATCCTCTCTAAATGAGCACTGGTGTCCTGCTCCTTCTTCAGCTCCTCCGCCATCATGGCAGCCTGAAATGTTCCAATATTTGTTTTGTTTTGTTAGAGCGGTGTGAAGGAGGTAGAACGTCTGTAGGAATGAACCTCAGGATGACTCACATCAGTGATGGCCTTCTTGGCTTTCTCTTCAGCGTTTCTTGCTTCCTGAACAGCATCTTCCACCTCACCTTGGATCTGAACAAGATCAGCCTCCAGCTTCTTCTTGGTATTGATGAGGCTGGTGTTCTAAACGGTTAAAAGTTCCAATTAAATGTTGTACTTTTATTAAGTTACATGGGTAAGAATKAGCTTTTAATGTACCTGAGAATGCAGCAGTGTAACACGCTCGCTGGCATCAACCAGTTCCTGTTCAGCCACTTTGCGGCTCCTCTCTGTCTGCTCGAGTGCAGCTCTCAGCTCCTCGATCTCGGCCACCATCAAGGTGTTCCTGCGCTCCACCATCGCCACCTGCTCTCTCATCTCGTCTTGTCCCCTGACAGCCTCATCAAGGTGCAGTTGTGTATCCTTTGTAATTGAAAAACCATGAACAGTCCAGTCTGCTTGACATACATTCTAGTAACAATGGTTTTCAGTAAACTATAATACCTTGAGGTGTCCCTGCACGTTCCTCAGCTGTTTCTGAGCTTCAGCTGCCTGGCGGTTTGCGTGGCTCAGCTGAATCTCCATCTCATTCAGGTCTCCCTCCATCTTCTTCTTGATTCTCAGGGCGTCGTTCCTGCTCCTGACCTCAGCATCCAGAGTGCTCTGCATGGACTCAATCACCCGCTGGCTGTTCCTCTTGATCTGCTCGATCTCCTCGTCCTTTTCTGCCAGCTTTCTGTCGATCTCGCCCTTAAGTTGGGTGAGCTCCAGCTGAACRCGGAGAATCTTGGACTCTTCGTGCTCCAGGGTTGCCTTGAAAAATAAAACGCCTAGTTAAGAATGATAACTTCTGACAAATCGAGTTGAAAAGGAGGTATTTCTTCTAGAGGTACCTCAGCCTCTTCAAGGGAGGTTTGGAGTTCACTCTTCTCAGTCTCAACAACCTTTTTCCCTTTTTCCAGTTCATGAATGGTTTTTCCAGTTTCACTGATTTGCTCAGTTAGATCTGAGATCTCCTCTGTAACAAACAAATGAAAGAAGTGTTTAAAGTTTCATGTTTGAGCAGAGCTGTGTTGCTCTGTGTTGCATCACTGTAACATGTGCAAAACAGTAATTTGTTGTCCAACATTAAATAAAAAAATACATAAAGTCTGGAGGAATAATTGACCAGATTTGTGTTTTTTAAAAACATATTAGAAAATCATATCCTATCTGATGTGTTTTAAATTAAAACGAATAAATGGTAATATTTATCTTTGCTGACTAACTACATAAAACAGTTCATACGCTGCAGGTTCTTGTTCTCCCTCTTCAAGGTCTCCAGCTGATCCAGAGATTCTTCATATGAATTTTTCAGCTTGAACATTTCGGTGCTGAGAGAGCGAGCTTCTTTCTGAGCTCCCTCCAGCTCAGCCTGGCTTTCCTCATACTTCTGCTTCCACTCCGCAAGGACCTTAAAATGTGAAGAAGCCCAACATTTGTTATTAATCTATAATTCTGTGTTCTTTAATTAGATGCACAAGGCAGAAACAGATGGGGAAAAAAAATAAACCTTGTCGAAGTTCCTCTGCTTCTTGTCCAGGGTGGCAGCCAGAGCGTTTGCTCTCTCCACGTCGATCATCAGGTCCTCCACTTCACCCTGCAGCCTCTGTTTAGTCTTTTCCAGGGAGGCACATTTGGCATTCACAGCCTCGATGGATTCCTCAGCATCCTGAAGACGCTGGGCGAGCTTTTTCCTAGATAGGATGATTACGGTAATTTTTTACACCTGAAGCGCTATGGAATTAACCGGAAACGGAAAAGGTTTAAACTTACTTAGCCTCCTCCAGCTCCTCAGTGCGCTGAATGGCATCAGTCTCATACTTGGTTCTCCACTGAGCCACCTCGCTGTTAGCCTTGGACAAGGCACGCTGCAGCTCAGCTTTGGCCTCCTGCTCCTCCTCATACTGCTCTCTGAGCAGATCACAGTCATGTCGAGCCGACTGAACAGCATGAGCCAGAGCGTTCTTGGCCTAACGCCCAAACAGGAACAATACGGATACTTTTTTACCATCCATCTCACGGTGCTTTACTAGGTCRTTYAGCTKTTTCTATAGACCGTTACCTTMACTTCCTCCTCTATGTGCCTCTTCAGCTCCTCAATCTGCTGAGTGTAAGCCTGCTTGCCTCTGGTCAGCTGAGATACGAGGGCTTCTTTCTCCTCCAGCTGCCGAGCAGTTTCACCTGTGAGAGGATAATTTGTTACATACAACATATAGTTCATGGCTGATGCAGATTTGGTATCTTTGACTAATTATAACATTAAAAAAATAACTAGAAAGTGAAGTCTTTACCATTTTCAGTTTGAAGTCGTGCCTTTTGTGCACTAATATCATTCAGCTGACGAACATTCTCATCATTCTTGGCTTTGAGCTCGCTCAGCTGATCCTCTAATGTCCTGCACATCTTCTCAAGGTTTCCCTGATTTAAAAAAAAATCAACATCTTAGTAAAAATCAAATGGATATACCTTAGTAAAAATGTTGCATTAAGAGTCATTCAAAGTTTCACTATTGTTGCACCTTTGCTTTTGCGATAGCCTCCATGTTGCTTGAGAGGTCGTCWATCTCCATCTTGAACTCACTCTTCTCTTTCTCCAGCTTCTGTTTGACTCTCTGGAGGTTGTCGAGCTGCTCTCCCAGCTCGGCCACGCTGTCAGCCTGCTTCTTGCGGAGAGCTGCGGCCGTGGCCTCGTGCTGCAGGGTGGCCTCCTCCAGATCCCGGCGCAGCTTCTGAAACTCGGCTTCGCGCTTCTTGTTCATCTCGATCTGAACTGCAGTGGCTCCGCCAGCTTCTTCCAGCCTCTCGCTGATCTCTTCAAGTTCCCTGGAGAGATCGGACCTCTGCTTCTCCACTTTGGCCCGAGCAGCTCGCTCAGCCTCGATCTCCTCCTCCAGCTCCTCAATACGAGCCTGACGTTTGCAAGATCAAAGAAAACAACAAACCAATCTTTAATTATATGTGCAAGAAAAAAACCTTTGAGTATTCTTAAGTATAGATGTTGCTGTAACAAAATAGAGTTAAAACAAATAAGAACCTGAAGTTCTTTTATTTTCTTCTGGAGCTGAGCACCAAGGGATTGCTCATCTTCAATCTTGCTTAGAAGTTGGCTTGTTTCAAAGTCCTTCCTGTGAAGAATCAACACCAGGAACAAAAAAACCCTGAGTTTCCTAAATCAAAACCACACGATATTCCTGTTCCTCCTACCTGCTTGGTAAATACATTTTGCAAGACAAAAACATTTAAACAGAACTGAACTACGTTTTTTTTCTACCCACTTCTTTAGTTTTTCATCAGACTGCTGCTTGTCATTCTCCAGGTCCATGATGGTTTCTTGGGCCAGCTTCAGATCTCCTTCCAGCTTTCTTTTAGCTCGCTCCAGATCCATACGGATCTTCTTTTCTTGCTCCAGGGAACCTTCAAGCTGTTTTTGAAAATTGACATCAATAGTTTGTGTTTAATCTTCAAGTACATTTCAGCCGGTTTCTGTTGTTGATAACACTCACATCATCCACTTGCTGCTCCAGCTTGGTCTTGGCCTTGGTCAGAGTGTTGACTTTGTCTTCCTCTGCCTGCAGATCATCGAGGGTTTGCTGATGAGCCTCTTGGAGAGCTTTCTTCTCTTTCGACAGTTTGGCAATGGTCTCATCTTGAGAGGCCATTTCCTCAACCAGGTTTTTAACCTGGTTTGAAAGATTCAGAGCTTTTAGTATTTGTGTGAAGAGTGGATTGTAAAACCTGACGCTGTGGTTGATGTACCAACCTTGTTTTCAGTGGCATGTTTCTCCTTTTCCACTTTGGCCAGAGTGAGCTCCAAGTCATCAATGTCCTTCTTTAACTCGGAGCACTCGTCCTCCAGTTTCCTCTTCTTGGCTGTCAGCTCAGCATTSATCTCCTCCTCATCCTCCAGTCTCTCAGATRTCTCTTTRGCCTTGGCCTCAAGCTGGATTTTAGCCTTAATGAGCTGTTCACACCTTTCCTCTGCATCTATGAGGTTTTCACCTTCCTGGATTTACAAAGAAACACAAATGCATAAGTTTGAAATTTAGCAGACCAAGTATCTTTATAAAAGACCTTTCTCTCAGCTCTTAAACATACCGACTGAATTTGCAGTTGCAAGTCATTCTTCTCCTGAAGGAGAGAAACCATCTTTTCCTCCAGTTCTTTCTTCTTAGCCAGAGCCTTTGCCAGCTCTTCTTTGGTTTTTGCAAAGTCTTCTTTCATTTGAGCCATCTCCTTTTCTGTCTCTGCGCTCTTCAGCAGAGGTTTGATCTTGAAGTACAGCTTCATCCATGGCCAAGTCTTGACATTCATGAAAGCGCGAATGTTGTACTGGATTGAATAAATGGCTTCCCTGAGGATTAAAAATATTGATTAAAATATGAATAAATTGCTGGTCCAGGTGGCTGAGGAGAGGGATGTCTGGGTCTCTCTGCTTAGGCATCTGCCCCGCAACCCGATTCCGGATAAGCGGCAGAAAACAGACGGACTGATGGATGAATAAATTGACTTAAGTTGTCATTTGTAGCTGCATATGAAATGTTAGCTGAAGTGTGTAAAGTACCTGCGTTCCATCATTTTGACAAACTCGCGCCTCATGAGGAAGCCTCTGCAGACGGCCTGAGTCATTGTGACAAGGATTGCAAGTTTTTCATCTCGCATCTCCTCCAAGAGACCCAGTAGACCAGCCTTGAAGAACACCTAATAAAACATCAAAAAGAAAAAAATAAGTAGGTCCTCTGGATGGGTTCTTCTTAAGTGAAACGTTTCGTCTCTCCTCCAAGAGACTTCTTCTACCTGGATTACTGAGATGCATCAGGACACCTAAAAAAACAGTGCTGACATTTGTAGTTAAAAAAATGTAATCTAAAATGCTCATGTTTTATATTATAATTTAACAACATATCATGGAAAGACCCACATCATATTACCATACCTTTGTGTGTCCAAACTTGTATTGAGTATGATCAACGTCAATAGAGCCCAAGAGTTTCTCAGAGGCCTTCTTGTTGTCAATAAATTGTCCCTCAGGGATGACACTGGCATTCAACACTTTGTATCTGATTTAAGGTAAAAAAAAAAGATAGTCAAGGAGTAATTCAGTATTATACTGTGATGAATAAATTATTCATTGTAATTACCTCTGCTTGAAGTCACCGTAGAGGATTCTGCTAGGGAAACCTTTCCTGCAGATCCTGATTCCCTCCAGCACACCGTTACACCTCAGCTGGTGGATGACCAGGTGGTTCTCCATGAGACCTGTGACACAACGTTACATAAGAACTCATTTTGGTTTGGGGACAAGACAGTGACTGAAAGATGATGGTCTTTGTATGGTCTGTGTTCAGGTACCTGGTGTCTTGGATTCATTGGGAATCAAGCAGCGCACAAAATGAGGATGAGTGCTCCTCAGGTTGGTCATCAGTTTGCCCAGATTCTCCTGAAAAAGTAATAAAGACTAAAGTTTAATAAAAGCCTTAAACTAAACAAGAACACTATGAGGGACTGATTTACAACCTACCCTGAACAATGCCGACACAGTCTGGAAGGAGCCTCCCTTCTTCTTGCCACCTTTCTTGGCACCACCCTCAGCTTTTTGTAAAACAATACAATTATTCTGTTAGGTTTAATTCCCTAAAAACATGTTTATTATAATACAGACATTTACAAGAAAACATACCGTCTGATGCGTGGGATGCATACAGCAAAGCCAACAGTTTTACTGAAGACTTCTGGTAGAGCTGAACCACAGAGTCATTCAATGGGTCTTTGTTCTTTTCCAGCCAGCCAAGAACATTATAGTCCACGGTGCCGGCGTAGTGCATCAGAGAGAAATGGGCCTCAGCTTTGCCTTTGGCAGGTTTCGGCTTCTGGAAGGGGGCACTTTTTCCCAAATGCTGGTCATACATTTTGCTCTTGAAGGTCATGTCTGTAGCCTTCGGGAACATACACTCCTCTTCAAGGATGGAGAAGATGCCCATTGGCTGTCATGATTAAAAGATTGTTAGAAACAAACACTTTCACATCATCAGAGTGTTTTCTGTGTTTGTCAGTGTAAACATGTCGCTAACCTTCTCAATGAGCTCAATGCAGGCTGCTAAGTCCATGCCAAAGTCAATGAATTCCCATTCAATCCCCTCTTTCTTGTACTCTTCCTGCTCCAGGACGAACATGTGATGGTTGAAGAACTGTTGCAGTTTTTCGTTGGTGAAGTTGATACACAGCTGTTCCAAGCTGTTGAACTGAAGGAATCAAGATAAAACAGATCAGCAGAGATTCAAAGTATCCAGAGGAAGAAATGGGATGTCTTAAGCTTTATAATGTTTYAAATGATCAGAAGATTTTGTGAATGGGTTAGAAATACTYACATCAAAGATTTCAAACCCAGCAATGTCCAAGACACCAATAAAGAAGCTTCTGGGCTGCTTGGTGTCCAGCATCTCATTGATTCTGACCACCATCCACAAGAACATTTTCTCATAGACAGACTTGCAGAGAGCCATCACGGCATTGTTGACCTTTAAAAACACAAAAAGCAAAACAGTAAGATTTTAGCGACCCAAACAAAAAAAAAAGTTTTAAACTAGGTAAAAAAAAATCAAAGACAAGAAGTGTTCACCTGTGGTACAGTTTGACCCTTTGTGACAAACTCGTTTCCCACTTTCACTCTGGGGTAGCACAGTGCCTTCAACAAATCGGCAGAGTTCAGGCCCATTAGGTAAGAGATTTTATCCGCAACTGAAAGACATGACAGGAAGCTGAGTGAAAACCGTGCATCAGTTGTTGCTGGTAATCAAAGTAAAGGCTGTGAAGAACACACCCTCTGTGCCATCAGGCTCAGCCTGCTCTTCACGCTGCTTCTGCTTGAACTTCATGTTCCCATGATGCATCACAGCTCCTGTCAGCTTGTACATGCTGACCTTCTCCTCTGCAGTGAAGCCCAGGATGTCGATAGCAGTCTGTRGAWAAATAGACAAAATGGTTCCATCATTTTAATTTCTGCATCKTTAKGACTGTTTARTATAATTTGTTGTGTTTCTGAACRTTTCTTACATCAGTRGCGATGAATTCTTCAACGTCATTGATACTCTTGACAGTGATTTCACCCTGACTGATCATCGGATAGTCATAGGGATTGGTGGTAATCAGGAGGGCCTCTGAGGGAAAGCAAAACATGTATGCGATTATAAAGAAATAGTTGTTATAAACATTAATGAATAGTTGATTTGCTGTAGAACAACAATAATATTAATTTCTAACCTATCAGCTCAGGTTTGTGGCCTGTTGTGAGCTGGTAGAAGATGTGGTAGCTCCTCTCAGCTGACAGCTGGAACGTCACACGTGACTTCTCCAGCAGATCTGTTTGGATTCAAGTCATCATGAATAAATGTCCAGAATTTTAAACCAGAYAAATGTGAAATATAAATGCTTACATGTTTCAATATCAGCTGAAGCCAGCTTTCCAGTTGACCCAAAGTGAATTCGGATGAATTTTCCCTGTGCAAAAACAAACACAACAAGATCTTGAGTGAAACTTCAACAGCTCAGATGGTTTTCACCAAACAACTTTGTAACAACTTCAGCTGAAAGGTCAGTTCTGAGGATAACTTACAAAACGAGAGGAGTTGTCATTCCTCACAGTCTTGGCGTTACCATAAGCTTCCAGCAGTGGGTTTGCTGCAATGATCTGATCCTCCAGTGATCCCTGAAGACAACGTTCATCACTTCAGCCCCACAGCTCTTTGCTCAGTTCAATCTTTCATTTAGTTGTTGTACCAGGTCACTTACCTGCATTTTACCAGCAGCTGGCTCCACCTTCTTCCCAGAAGCTACTGCGATTGTCGCAAAGTACTGGATGACACGTTTGGTGTTCACAGTCTTTCCTGCACCAGATTCTCCGCTGGTTTGAAAAGTGAAATTAGATACACGTTAGTTTTAAAGAAATGTTTGTTGGAAATCCTTGTTTGTATAAAATATATAACACTTACGTAATCAGGATTGACTGGTTTTCTCTATCTGTAAGACAGAAAAAATAACAAATTGGTGGATGCTGGTTGTTGAACTGTGGTTTTTAACAGATTCCAGAATGATACCTTGGAGCATGAACTGATAGGCATTATCAGAGATGGAGAAGATGTGGGGCGGAGCCTCAATCCTCTTCTTTCCCCTGTATCCTGCAACAACCACTGCATCGTACACCGGCAGCCACTTGTAGGGGTTCACAGTGACGCAGAACAAGCCTGAGTAGGTCTGTAGRGTCACAGAGAGTCACCGGTGATGCACATTCTTCCTGCCGTCATCACAGCTTCCAGCTACAGATGTTTAGATGAACACAAACTTACGTAGATCATCCAGGCTGCGTAACGCTCTTTGAGGTTATACAGTACAGCGGGCTCGTTGAGGTGGGTCATCATGGCCATGTCCTCAATCTTATCGAACTTTGGAGGGTTCATGGGGAAGATTTCATCTTCTTTTACAGTGAGAGTCTGAGGCTAAGAGTGAAAATAGAAAGAGTCATAGGCAGACAGCAAGGAGATCTTAGTACCAGTGGATAAATTGGATTGTTACAGCTTTAGCAAAAATTGTACAACATGTTTAAAAATATTTGCATTTTTACATTATTATTTTTATTATGAAGTTTAGTCTTTACTCCTCATGTTCTCTCATCGTGCCACATGCAGTAACTTTTCAGTTAACCAGGATGCCCAAGCATGTTTCAGGGGTTGTAATATAAGTGCCCCTCATGTGTTCCTGCCCCTGCTGTAGTGGTGTCTCAGTCTCCTGTTGTACATCTTTAGAAATGTACATTAGTCTTCGGGTATTCCTATATTTGCATTGACGGCTACAGTTTTCTTTGACAACAAAACTTGAGTTTGAATGACTTAAAAAGTTAGTCTAAGTCTCTGTAACCCAAGTGAATGTAGCAAAAACTGACAATAGTAAAAATATCTTCATGTGATGCTAAAAGAGCTTTTGTTTTACAGTTGTTTCCTGTAAAACTTTCTGTTAAATTGAAGCCAGGTGACTGTTTTTTCAATCTTCTTTGATTTATAAGTTATTGTAATAGTTTTCGCAAAGCATTAAATATGTACTATCTCTGGAGAATAAAGTGATGCTTCTTATTTTTCAATCGGTCTAAGTCTAACATAAGCATCGTGGCTTAAATATCCCCACCTGCTGCCATTTAAATATTCTGTTTTATTGTTGTGCTATCATCATTTTGTCACTCTTCTTTTAATTTAAGAAACATTAAAGTTGAATTAATCAGCAATTTTGTCTTTTCACAATCATCCAGTGCCTTATCTAAACGTTTACCGCATTTTAGTTCCTGATAAATATCTTAGAGGCTCCCTTATTTAACAGGCTTTTCATCTTGATCTGTTTTTTTATTTCCCTTTGGAAAAAGTACAAACTTTGATGTATGTTTATTTTGTTAGTGTGGTCACTCATAGCCTGGCTGAATGTGCCAAGTCAAACCATGATTTCAGCTGAGGATTCTGACTTATCCTTTCACTGAGCACTGATGACATGTTTCAGAGCTTTTGCAATGCTGCAAGGTCAGAAATGTTCTGGAATCACAAGGCTTAGCCATCCTATTGGTGAGCAGTTGTTTAGTGCATCATAACTATTTATGTCAAAGCTTTAACCGTCTCCCTGTCATAAACAATATTATATTATGCTTTTTTTACCTTTTTATTTTTATATACAAAAATTCAAACTATACATTAAACTACATAACACTTAGTATGACTGTTGAGAAACTAATTCGTCATGTAATGTGAAACTTGTCGTTGCAGTGATGCCTTCTCACCTTCCCAGTGATGGTTTCCACGACGGCCTTGCCTCCTTCTTTCTTTACAAGTTTCCCCTTGACGTACATCTCTGTGGGCTCAGACACAAAATATGCTGTTTTAGCATCAAAGGGAGTGTTCTGAGCCTCAATTCGCTCCTTTTCTGGCTTCCGGAGGTAGACGGCCGCCGGGCCGAAACACTCCATCTCTGGGTCAGGCATGATGACCGTTTACTGCAAATGAAGAAAGGAGATGAACATTTGCTTTTAATGCACTGAAACATGCATATCTTTATAAATACAATTACAAATACAAAGCAATAATTGTGATGTTTATATTGGTGAACTTCTAATTATATTAAATTAGCTTTATTTACCTTGCAGAACACCCGGTGAGCAGGAGGTTTGGTTGAAACTTCGGTGCAGATTTCTGTAAAAAAAAAAAGAGATCAAAATCAGGTTTACAAATGTTACTTATTATTGTTAAACACTTTAAATGAAAACATGACCTTTATCTATTTGTTTTCTGTGATCCTGCAGTGTTATGGCATGTCTTAGCATTTTAGAACCTTACCTTAGCAGGGTGCCCCTTCTTGGTGGTGATTGCTGCTCCTCTTTATACAATCTGATGGGAGCCTGTGTCACGTGTGTGTCGCTGTATTTGGTCATGCTGCCTGGTGCTTGTGCAGTAGCCGATACCGCTGCCTTTATTATTRTGGTTTATTTTTGTGTCATGCCTGAAATTGGTCCATACAAAGTGGAAGATAAATGAGAATTTAAATGCTTGTGTTGTAATGGGATTYCTGCACTTGTATTTATGATGACAGAAGTGGATTGTGTTTCCTTCTGCACTGCCTTCAATGAGGATTGTTCAAWACAGCACCAGGATGAAAAAGCAACATTTTGAGATCCCTGCAACTTATTCTCCTGTAGCCTGTTTATGTGTAGTCATATCGTTCTTTACTGCCTCTAAGAAAAAATGGTGGTCCATTTCTTGTTCAGTTCACTCGAAGTTACAGACAAGCCAAAGGTGTGACTAATACATCTTTATAATTCTCACTGGCACAAAGGCAACTCTTTGCTATGCTTCAGTGAGTCACTGATATCAAGTTTCAGAGTCCTTACAGGTCAGAAATGATTAAAAAAATGAAATGAGTGCCACTGAGCTTTAAAGAAAAGGAAGAATTGCCAGGGGATTACTGCTCACAACGGTGCCAACAGCTGTTCTTATTCTTCTTCTTAAGGGATACACAAGAGAGACTGATACAATCCCTGAATGCAGAACAGCTGATGGGTGGTTTACAGCTTCTCTGATGATAGCTGTTTCGTATAAAAGTGTGTTTCTTTRTTTGCTGTGATAAGCACTCAGTACAGACCTTCTTAGGGAAGTCTTTGGAAGGTGCTTTTGATGGCATGGGTCAAACTTTTTTATTTATTTCTTTTTTTGTCAGAAACGTAGCACATAGCTGGCACAGTTTAAGAGCATGGGTTCAGAGGCCTTAGGCACTGTTTCCTTTGAAAACAGGATCGACTTACATCGTCAAAATGAAAAAGAAATTCTAAAGTGCTTACCCTCGCGATAAAATGGGAAATGTCTTCAGGGGACCCGGGTGACACCATGCCTGCTCTGAAATCTTCTGTCTTATAAGGACAAAATTCAAATATAGCGCCTAACTTATTTTGATGCTGAAGTAAAATACTAAATGTTAACAAGACATATTATGTTTTTATGGCCTTTGCTGTAGCCCTTTGGTTTCTTTATTTGTCAAGGAGCAACAGCTGGGCTTGGGATAATAAACCAAGGTGAGTGCTGCAACATTCCAGTGTAAGGGCTGAAGGGCTGGCCTCCATAACTACGGGATCAACTTTTATACTCACTATTTATCATTGTAAGTATGTTTTTATATTTTTACATGTAAAATTTAAAGAATAATAAAAAATGATGCTGTATGCTTAAACTTYATTTATTGTAATGAGTTCAGAATAATTTCAGTCAAACCTAGAATAGCTAAATAAGTCTTTCCGAAATGTTTTAATCAACCAGCAAGTCTTAAGTCATGTTTGGAAGCTGAGCGCAGTAACTGCACATCCTGAGTCCTTTATGTGATAATTTGCGCATTAAACCAGCTCTCCCAGTGGTCACTGTAAACGTGTTTATGATGTTTCAATGCTCATTAAAGGTGGCTCTGAAGACCGTTGAGTTTGACCAAATTTATGCAGAAGAACAAGCAAATGGTTTATTTTTGGCAGAGTTTATTCTATTTTATTTTAACCGTGAATACTTGTTTGTCTTCTTCTAGGGCTCTGGGAWGAGGATGTGACCTTTTCAAAGACGTGCAAATTAAATTCTGTTTTAAAACCTTAAAAGGTGCACTGATAGACTTTTACATCTTGACTATTTTGCATATTTACCGATAGATCATTAAGCTTTGTGGCGTATAAAAGTTAATTTTTTTTCCTGCCTTACACCAGATGGGTGTGTTGCTGCTGCTGCCATTACAGTCACACGCTTGTGTATTTAGTGCAGTTGATGGCCGGGGTCACTGGTATCTTATAAACACCAGAGGGAGCCTCATGTTGCAGAGGTGCAAATGTGCTACTTATGTTACCAGCTTTTTATCGTCATTAATACTTTCATCATCATCATCATCATGTTCTAACCCCTGACTATTTCACCCTATCACCAACTACGACAGATACAAATAAAAAAAACAGACTATTGTTGCTTAATATAAATATCTGGAGAAAGTACTGTGCTACAGGTGGATGAGCAAACAGATGTTTTTATTTTTATTATTAAGCCAGAGGAAAAACCTTCCCTTGGACAATTTTAAAACAAGTGCACATTCACATGGACAAGTTGTCATTTACTCTTCATTTAAAGATTTAAGTGTTAGCTTTGCTCATTAAATAGTAAGTATGTGCAAAAACCAACTGAGAAATATCTGTAAACCTTTAAAAACTTTAAAATCTTTGGCCAAATACCAAAGCATGAAACATAATAAGGTGCTGAAATAATAAGCAGCTGAATGCTGAACCTCTTCTGCTCAGAGGAGCAAACTTGAATAGATGTATACAGCTTAACTCAGATGAATGTAATTAATTGATAACTAAATTGAAATAAGTACGTAGCCAACTTTATAAAGCCTCACGACTCGGACATTCTCCTCGGTGCAACTTGATGCTGAAAACCATCYCACGTGTAATAAAGAGAGACGCTGAAAGTTCATGTCAACAACTGCAGAGCGAGAGCTTTGGTATTTGTGAACTAGAAGCTATAATTGCTTTAGGTCCTGATAAGACTGTAAAATAAGAGCAGACGTATCAAATGTTTGTTTGTTTTTTTTTAACTGCAACTCAGTCATATCTCTAGAGACACGTTTCATATCGAATTAGACCTCCTTTAGGTAAAATAGACCAAAATGGATTCTTAAATTAGATTTTACGGGACCTGTTCTCAAGAAATGTTTCAAACCAAAAACCTTGTGTGCAAAGTTTCAAGAAAAGCACATTTTTACGTCTTCTCCTCCTGTGGTTAATTGCTTGTTCATTTTAAATGGAAACCGTTGACCTTTGGGTTTCAGTTCTTAATTGGTTTTGTGTTATCCTGGAGGTGGCACCACTTGTTACAGTGAGACATCTGAGACCGAGCATCTTGAAAAAGCTAAGAGACTCTTAACAAGAAGAAGGCTAAAGACGTCAGTTTAAAGAAAGCCATCAGAGGCGCCACCAAAGTTTTGGACCGACTGCTAAGAGAGGTGAGTCCTCAATCACACCACAGCAACGAGATTTGAAATAAATTTCACTGTCAAAAGGGAGTTTAACCAAGATTTGTACATTCATGAATTAAGTTCTGACTTATTTTTCCTGTTTATCCACCCAAAAATAGGATGCATTACCAAGCCGTGAACGTTCTTATTTTTTTTGAGTCTAAYATCTTTTAAAAGTAAATCTTGTTTGGCATTTACTTTAATTTTATTCACAGCTGAGCCATGACAATGAATGTAGATTAAAGTGTTTTGGCTCGGCAACCTTTTAAAAGTCTGAATAAAAGTTTGAACCCCCCAGTTTGATGCTACAACAGCTTATTTTGTATCAGACCCCACTGTTCCCCTGGTTCCCCTCACTCGCTTTAAGACYCGTAGTGACCATGCTTTCTCCTCTGTGGCCCCTAGGCTCTGGAACGAACTCCCTGTTAATCTGCGCTCCCTTGACAACATTGTCTCTTTCAAGAAACAYCTAAAAACACAATTTTTTTTACTCAAGCATTTAGCTAACCATTCACCATTAATGCCAGCCTACCTCCATAATGAATGCTCGCCAACTATGTGTTTTTCCTATTATTGAACATATGGCAGATTTTTTTCTCCCCCATTCTCTAGGTTTTGTGTATCTTTGTAAATTCTGCATTGATCGTGTGTTTGAGTTACAGTTTTAGAACTTAATTTTGATTTGATGTTTTATTACGTTGCTTATGTTTATTTATGTATTATTCTGTTTTATTTGATCTTTTCTCCATTTTTACATTGTTACTGATTGTGCAGCACCTTGTGAATATTTCTGTGAAAGGCGCTTTATAAATAAAACTTTACTTACTTACTTACTTACTTACTTACTTACTTACTTACTTACTTACTTACTTACTTACTTACTTACTTACTTACTTACTTACTTACTTACTTACTTACTTACTTACTTACTTACTTACTCACTCACTCAATAGATGAAACTAAGGGTGGAAGTGTTTGGACTTCTAATTGAATAGAATACATCTAATGTCTAGAAGATACATTTGTTCATAGCTATTAGTTAAGACTGCATATCAACATTACAATGGCACATCTTTAACTGTTTGGGTGTAAATCAGTGATGTAAAAGATGATCAAATCTTTTTTTAAAATAAACCTAAGATTGATGACAGTGACTGCTCTCACACACACCTCTCACACAGCATAAATAAACTAATAAAACATTAACCTCTTGTATCCTTCAGCAAAGTTTATATGCTCATTGCAGTGTTTATATCCATCGTTGTTTGGTTCCACAACACACAGCAGAACAGTGCCCCCTACAAGCGAAACAGCTGAGGAGTGTCAATACCTTAACACACAAACCTGTTTTATTTGTTTGTTTCAATTCAATCAAATTCAATTTATTTAAATAACGCCAAGTCACAAAAAATGTCGTGTCCAGACACTGTACACACACACAAAAAAAAAAACAATAAATCTAAACAAGCTAGGTTGAAAGAATAATTAAAATCTGCACAGAGCTTTACAATTAGAGCCATCCTGCAACCTAAAAGAGCAAAAAAAAAAAAAAAAGATTTATTTTTAAAACATCTCAGGAGTGAGGAACACCCTCCTAGGAACAAAACATAAAGAATAATTCATTTAAGTGTTTTATTGTGAAGCAACAGCAGCCATAAATCAGACTTTTTTGTGCATAATATCTGCACACACTTTGTTTACTTCTTGGATTCAGCTGCAACAAATTAGGGAGACTTTGAGCGTTTGACCCAARTGATTTGGTTCTTGACAAAATCGTGGTAGTACATAATAGACTTCACAGTATTTTGTCTGACAACCT